CTACCAGACACTAAATGATGTTATGTCTTTAATCTAGTCTCTTTTGTCATTGTATTATTCTGTGGGCATCTAGCACACATCTGTATATATTTTGTCATACCAGATCACCCCAGAAGAGGCAAACACTTGTGTGGAGAGGAGTGGAGAGGGGCTCCGACTCACGGAAGTTCATATTGGAATAAATGTTGTTAGTCGTTAAGGCTCCAGTGGCCTTCTGTGTTTCTTTCCCCTACAACAGACAAACACAGCTACCCTTTGGGATCCTCTCTCATGTGTTCTGATGTTCTTCCATTTTGGAAAGAAGCAGCACCGAAGAGGCACGCAAAGTAAAATTCGTTTCCCAAACTGAAACTGGGCGGAAAAGATTACATTGACCAGTTTGGCAGTACAGCAATTTCACGGACTCTTCTTGCAGCCTGGCCTCTTTCAGGTTGCTTATGGCCGTGTATAATGTGATGAATCATTTGTGTCACCAGGTCATGGCAAACTTGGATGACCATCAGGTCATCCAAGGACAACAACAGACCGCTGGAAAGACAAACCAGAGTAAAGCCAAAAACCCCATCTTTGCGCTAATAAATCAGGCCTCGCACTCGCACATGTACCCGAGCTCAGCACCCAGAGACCTTGTTCTTACTTCCAAGTACAGCGAGCGAAGGTGACACATCAAAAGAACTGGAAGAGTACACCAAGATTAATGCATCTCATATGCTTTAAGTGACAGAGAATATTAATTCCCCAGACTTGCACACAAGGTCTCTGCCTACAAGCATGTGCTTTCCCGTCTCCCCCAAACAAGGACATCAATAACATACAAAGGCAGGCGGGAACATTTTGGCAGATTATTAGAAATGAAACTAAAAGCAATCACGTATGGGGTTTCCAGAATTAAGGGAGGGAATAAAACACGGGACCTATTGTCAGGGCTTTCCTGCCGGTATTCACGAGAGGTTTATGCCTCCCAGTCAGTCTGCAGGCAGGGCTATGCCAATTAACTGCATCGTCCTCCAAGCCTGGCTGGAGGCAGACTTCCTAGTTCATGACTTACAATAGCACAGAAAGGAAACACTTGAGCAAAAAGCATTTCGCCACTACTGTGATCATTAGACTACAAGACTGAGCTGAATGATGAACAGAGGTCATTTCGGGGGGGATCGCGGGGGATCGCAGTTCCCCCAGGTGAGGTACGGGGGGCAAGGCACATGACGAAGCCCCGCCCCCCGCTTCCGGCCGCCCC